AGGCTGACCAGGAGAGTTTCACGGGAAGCTCAAAAGACAGTGCTGCTGGGATCAGACCCAGGTTCTCAGGCTTGGTAGCCTCTTGACTTCTGAGCTATCATGATGGCCAAACACTAATGTACATATTCAACAACAACAACAACAATGTACTATGCCTCTGGCTTGTTCACAACCCTGAGAGAATGCACCCTTTCTCCAAATAGTAGTTAATAAGATGTGTGATGAAACTCGACTCCATGTTGTCAAGGGAGAATGTGGTCATCTTTGACCCAGTTGGATGTCACCAGTTTTGGACAGCTGCAGCAGAGTAAGAGCTGCTTAACACTGACCACTCTTAGAGTCCCCTCCGTGTCCAGCAGACTTACCTAGAGATAGGGACAGCGGTATTATTGATGGTCCAGGTCGGAGGGGCTTCCTTTAGCCTCTCACCAGAGAGAATATGAGTTGTTTGGTTCTAAGCTGAAGTTGGGCCTTTCAGGCAAACCTTGACCTTGTGGACACTCCTGTGCAGTGCATTTCCTTTGAGACGGCTGTATTCTCACACACTTCATTATTTCCTTTTACAGACTCCATATTCCGCATTTGTTCAGCTGCTTCCAGTTCTGGTGATTGTGTTTATTTCTGTCATTACTCAGCTGCTGGCCACTAACCCCCCATATAGTCTATTCTATAAATCGTAAGTGGAATATTTCTAATTTTTTCCTTAGTAACAGCTTAAAAGATGAAAGACTTCGCGTGGTGGTGGTGCACGCTTTTAATCCCAGAACTCGGGAGGCAGAGGCAGGCGTGTCTCTGTGAGTTTGGGGCTAGCCTGGTCTACAGAGAGAGAATTCCAGGACAATCAAAAATACACAGTGAAACCTTGTCTTGAAAAAAAAAAACCCAAATTGAACAAAAGATGAAAGACTTAAGGTCTTGCTGACTCATGCTGACACCTCTTTTCACCTTCCACGGTGGAAAATGCTGATCTTATGTTTCAACGTTTCTCTGGTGTGTGCTATGGAGATACTAAATTTAGGTACTTGAGAACAACTAAACTAAACCAAAAGGAAGAGCCAAGCAGTAATAATGTAGACTCAGTGCGTAGGGACTGCCTGTGCCTTAGGAAGGGATTATTGTTACGCAGTGATACCCTCTGGTCAACTGCAAACAGTCAGGCTTGGTGTAGAAGGATCAGCAGAATAGTTTGAGAACCGTAAGTCTCACCATGGTAAAGTTAGGACAGAGAAAAGAGAGATGGGGTGGGGAGGAGTGGGAGAGAAAGAGGAGGAAGAGGGAAGGGACAGAGGGCAGGCTGTCATGAGTGGGTTTGGAATGATAGTGACTGGGACCTAGTGGGTTTTTTTTCAATTTTTTTTAATTGAAAGGAGGGGCTGGAGAGGTGGTTCACAGGTCAAGAGCACTAGCTTCTCTTACAGAGGACCCCAGTTTAATTCCCAGCATTGACATGGTGGGTCACAACCATCCGTAACTCCAGTTTCAGGGGATCTGAGGCCCTTTTCTGGCCTCTGCAGTCACCAGGCATGCAAATGGTTCACAGACATTCAAGCAGGCAAAACACTCATACACATAAAATTAAGATTAATAAAAATTACAAGGAGGGACAACACACACCTTTAATCCCAGCACTCAGAGGCAGGAGAATCTCTGAGTTCAAGGCCAACTAGGTTGAGTTCCAGGACAGCCAGAGCTGCTATACAGAGAAACTCTCTCTTGAAGGAAAAAAAATTACAAGAGACATTTGTTATTGATAAGGACATACAGTCAAACTGTGCTATTGTGTTTCTTTGCTTTTTCTGAGAACAAAGTTTGTTATGATATGTGTTGAGGCATGTAGATTACATATAAATGCAGATTAGGAATCTTTTTTTAGTTTTTCCACTTAATGCTTTCAGTTGCTTTGGTCAGAGTTTGGTCCCTAAGTGAGCATCAAGAGCATCAGCTGGCAATACATTCAGACCTGTAAGAAAAGCAAGCTTCAAGCTGGACAGGATGGCACACTCCTTTATTCCTGGCACCTCGGAGGCAGAGGCAGGTGGAGCTCTGTCAATTCCAGGTCAGCCTGGTCTACATAGTGAGTTCCAAAACCAAAAGAAAGACAAGAAAAAGAAAAAGAAACTTCAGTTTGATTTTTGTCATGTTTTTGGGAATCTCTCACTGTGCAGTTCAGCTGGCCTTGGATTCACAGCGATCTTCCTGCCTCAACACCCCAAATCGAGATTAAAGTTGTGTGGCCATACCTGGTTCTAGTACTTTTCCTTTGGTTTAGTCTACCCTGTTTCTTTGTGGGTAGATCTTGCTATGTAGCTCAGGCTGATCTCATGTGTTTGGTTCTCTTGCTCCCAGCTTGTGGGTGTTAGGACCACAAGATGTGTGCCACCAGATTTAAATGTTAGAACAACATGTCTGTACGACTATAGCTGGATTTTTTTTTAAGTATCCAAGAACTTTTACATATTTGTTCATTTGTTTTGTGAATGTGAGGCCAGCAAGGTAGCTTAGCACATAGAAGTGCTTGCTGCTAAACCTACTGAACCTGAGTTTGATCCCCAGGACCCACATGGTAGAAAGAGAGAATGGAGTCTCTCAAGTTGTCCTCGGACTTCCACATATGCACTGGGGCTGCACACACCTGTACTCACATAGATACAAAACAAACAAATAAGACTGGGCGTGGTGGCTTATGCTTTTAGTTCTAGCACTTGGGAGGCAGATGTAGACCTCTTTTCATGTGTTCAAGGCCAGCCTGGTCTACATAGAAAGTTCTAGGTCAGTCAGGGCTACGAAGTGAGACTATGTCTCAAAAAACAAAAGGGAATAAATAAATGTGTGTGGGGCATGCTAGTGCATGTGTGGTCAGAGGACAGCTTTTGGGAATTAGTTTATAACTTTCACCTTACTGTAAATGGAGGTTTTTCTTTGTCTGCCAGTTCCTGAGTAAATACTTAGAGGCTTAATATTAATTATAAACTGTTTGGCCTACTAGCTCATGCTTATTACTAACTAGTTCTTACAACTTAAATTAACCCATAACTTTCTTCCCAAACAACTCTAGTAAACAAAAAAAATTTAAAAATTAACCCATAACTCTTATCTATGTTTAGCCACATGGCTTGGTACCTTTTTTCAGTAAGGTATTCTCATTTGCATCTGGCTTGTAATTGCGTCTGGTCTCTGCCATTCCTCTTCCCAGCATTCTCCTAGTCTGCTTGCCCCGCCTATATTTCCTGCCTGGTTACTGGACAATCAGCATTTTATTAAGCCTATATGAGTGAGAGATCTTAACAGTGTACAAGAGCATTATCTCACAGCACCTTACTAAGGCAGATCTCTCTTGTGTCCGCAACCGTTTCATATTCCAGGCTAGCTGGGCTAGTGCTCCCAGCCAACTCTCTGGTCTACTTCTCACCCTACTGGAGAAGTGCAGAGATTACAGGGGTGTGCCACTACTAGTTTTATTTGGTACTGGAAAAAAGTCCAGGGCTTCCTATATGTTAGGCAAACATTATACCAACTGAGTCACATCCACAACCCTCAAAACAAACTTTTAAAGGTTTAGTCATTCTGCTTTTCACACTGAAAGACTTGTAAGAAAGGTGAGTCTTGGGCTGGAAAGATGCTCCAGTTAAGAGCACTGACTGCTCTTGCAGAGGTTCTGAGCTCAGCTCTCAGCATCCACATGCTCACAACAATAACCGGAGTCCTGTGGGATCAGGTACCCCCTTCTGCTATACCTTACTGAGAGAAAGAGAGAGGGGGTGGGGGAGAAGGAAGGAAGGAAGGAAGGAAGGAAGGAAGGAAGGAAGGAAGGATAAGCTGTAAGCTACTTTGGTAATTGTCAAATTGCTTGCTTGATGCCTATAATGACTAACTAATGTTGGGAGATGGTGGCAGTCGTGTGTAGAGGCCAGCCAAGAGTCAGACTGACAAGTAGCACTAGCTGATGCGAGCCACTCTCTGTTTCAGAACCTTGGGCTATACCATTTCTAGAGAAACGCAGAACCTGCAGGTGCCTTACTTCGTGGATAAAAACTTCGACAAGGCCTACAGAGGAGCGTCTCTTCGTGACCTGGAGAAGACAATAGAGAAAGACTATATTGACTACATTCAGACAAGCTGTTGGAAAGAGAAACAGCAAAGTAAGTAAGGCCAAGCAGGCTGTCATGAGGTCTCCCAGCCTTCTGACCCTCTCCTTGAACAGAGACAGAGCAGATACTCACGCAGATAATACTGCAAAGAATGGACGTTTATTGACATGTGACCAGGGCTGGAAAACTTAGGAACTTGGGCATCATTATATCTCCTACTGTATTTTCTTCTCTCTGCTGCCTGCACCCCACAGGGGGGTGAACTTACTACATAGCCCTAACTGACTTTTTTTTTTGGTTTTTCAAGACAGGGTTTCTCTGTAAAACAGTCCTGGCTGTCTGGAACTCACTCTGTAGATCAGTCTGGCCTCAAACTCACAGAGATCAGCCTGCCTCTACCTCCCAAGTGCTGGGATTAAAGGTGTGAGCCACCACCACCCATTCCTGACTTGTAGTTTGGGCTGGTCTCAGAGATCTGCCTGTTTCTGCCTCTAGCCTGCTGTTATGCAGCCCTGGATTTTTGATTCTCCTGAGGACTTAGATTATAGGTATGCATTAGTTCTCCTGCCTTACTACCTGCCTCTTTTTTTCTGTTTTTTAAAAAAATTACTTTTATTTATTTGGGCAAGAACATGTCCAAAAGTCTAGAGAGATGGCTCAGAGGTTAAGAGCGCCTCCTGCTCTTCCCGAGGACTCACATTCAATTCCCAGTACTCACATGGCAGATCACAACTGTCTGCCACTCCACGGTCTGACACCCTCTCATAGATATACATCCAGGCAAAACACCAATGCACGTTAAAAAGAGGAAGAAGAGGAGGAGGAGGAGAAAGAGGAAGACGAGGAGGAGGAGAAAAAGGAGGAGGGAAGAAGAAAGACTGTCCAAATGCACAAAGTGTGTGTGGCAGTCAGAGGACACCTTGTGGGACTTGGTGCATCCTAATTGTTGCTCTTCTTGTTGATGTCGTAAGGTCCCTAGCCTCACCAGTCACTGGACCCATTTTGCATCCCAAGCGTCTTCATGAAGTTCTCAGTGCTGTCTGGTTTCCTTCACAGTCCCTAAATTCCACATTCCCTAGAGAGAAATTTGATTGAGCCAGCCTCCCTTTTTGAGTGATACCAGAAGTTTAGTTGCTGTCTTGAGTCAAGCAGTGGTGGCACATACCATGATCCCAGCCCTCAGGAGGCAGAGACAGGCGATTCTAGAAGTTAGAGACTAGCCTGGTCTACAGAGTTTCAGGACAGCCAGAGCTACACAGAGAGACCCTATCTCAAAAAAACAAAATAAAAGAAAATCTAACAACGACAAAAGAAGTTGCTAGCCTGTAGTCTGGTGTCCCCTTACTTCTTGTTGCTTGTGGGTACATAGAAGAGTGACCTCCTGGGTCAGCTTTTCAGTAGTGTGAATGTGAAAGATCTTTCTTCTCTTTTCCTCACAAGAGACAGTGTCTCCCGCTTGGCTTACAGCTCCAGGTGTTATGGGGAGTCCTGGCAGCAACCCTGTCTTAGCCAGTAGTTTCATTTTAAATTCCAATCAAACTGCCCACACACACAGTTTAGAGACACACGCGCGCACACACACACACAAAGTAACTGTATCTTGGCTTTGCAGACTGGGCTCTGGTCAATTATTTTTCAAAATAAACTATAACTCATCTTTTAAGCTTTATTACTAGATGTCTTTAAATGTATACTGATAAAATTAGTTCTTCGGTCACAGTGCTTCTTAGCCCTTGCTGACCCATCCCGTACTCCTGCCTCCCACCGAGTTAACCCACCCTTCCTGTGTTTAAAGCACTTTGCTCTTCCTGCTAGCACGGTACTGATCCATAGCATTAGTGGTCCATAGGTGCATGCCGGTTCCCTCTGCCGGACTGCTGGCCCCAGAAGCAGACTGTCTTACTAATACTGTGTCCTGGGCTGCAGGCACAGTCCTGACTTCAGGACAGGAGCTCTACACATTTCAGAGAAGATTCTCCTACTGCAAAGGCGGGCGCTGAGGAGGAGCGTGAGGAGTGGTTCGGTGCTGGTGTCTTATCCCTCCCCTCAGGGACTTCGCCCCTGCCCTCCATTTCTACCGGGCAAAGCCTGGCTACCCCCTAAATGAGGGGAAGTTAAATACCTCATTGTTAAATTAGTTTTGTTTGGTTCATTGGGGGTTTTTTGAAGCAGGGTCTCACTATGCAGACCAGGCTGTTTAAATTAGGTTTTATCTTTTTAAAATCAGGAAAGACCTGGGTGTGGTGGTATAGGCAGGCCTATGACCCCAGGACTTGGGAGGCAGAGAGAGGAAGATTTTGAGTTTAAGGTCACACTGAGCTTCATAGTAGTAAGACTGTCTTGGAAAAAAAATCAGGCTGGTGAGGTGGGTCAGTGGGTAAAGGCTCTTGACACCAAGCCTGACCTGAGGTCAGTCCAGGACCCAGAAGTGGAAAGAGAGAACTGATTCCCACAAGTTGCTCTCTGACTACTACATACATGATATGGTACATGCATGAGGGTACACACACACAAAAATAAATAAAGGGAATTTGAAAAGAAAGAAAGAAAGAAAGAAAGAAAGAAAGAAAGAAAGAAAGAAAGAAAGGGAAGAAAAAGAAATAAGGAAAGCATTTGGTATATAGTCCAGGCTGGCCTCAAACTCACAGAGATTCTCCTGCCTCTGCTTCTGAGTGCTGGACTTAAAGATGTTCCCCAGCAAGGCCTGCCCCGGGAAAAAAATTAGGGGCAAGAATCCCTGTAGATCTAAATTAGGGGAAAGCCACAGTAATGTGTCCTTACCATCCCCTCTGTGCTGGGCACAGGAACAGTTTGAATTTATTGCTTTCTTCAGGAACTACATGAAAATCTGCATTTTGCATTCTTCAAACCCTCTCACACACAAGAACACATATGACACATACCACATACAGATGCACGTGCACACATAAACACACAAGCACGTGTGTGCACATGCACATGTATCGTATTCTACTTTGCAGCATTAAGATGCTGACAATGCGAAAAGGTGAAAGATTTCACCAAGAGTGGTTTTTGAGCTTTGGTTCCCGTTCACATGAGGCTTGTTCAGATCTGTGGGTCTGTCCAGGCACAAGTGAAAACTCTGTGAGCACCACAGCTGGTAGGATAGGCCTGTGATCCCACCCTGTAATCTCTAGGGAAGCTAAAGCCAGAGGATCACAAATTCAGGACCTGTTGTGGCTACAGAGTGAGTTCAAGGCTAGCCTGGGCAACTTAATAAGCTCTATCTCATTTTGCTTTATGTTTGTTTGTTTTATTTTGTTTTAAAAAAGAACTGAGGGTATGACTCAGTGGTACGCCCAACAGTATATATGAAGTCCTAGGATCCACCTCAGTTAAAAACACCCCCCACACACACACACACAAATCTATGAATGAGCCTGATGTGTGCAGTTCACCAGTTCTGAATGGAGGTTGTCAGCACATAGCCCTGAAAATAGTCTGTTCCTAGCATTTAAACACAATGGTTCTGTGGGGCCTCCACACCACTCCAGTGCCATTTGAGAAGCAGCAAGTGCAGCCAAGAAGGTTAAATTTAGCACTTTGAGTTTGTAAAAATAAACTCACTTGAGAACAAAGTTCACTCTTGGCAAAATACCAAATGGAAATTTTATCAAGGGTAGCCATTGTCTTTGAAAATCTTTATTATTCCTTTTATTTGCTTTTCCCTGGAATGCCTAATATGGGTGATTTTTTTATGAGTAATCCTTTACTATGGATGATGATTGTCCTGCTTACTCTTTCATGGATGTGTCTACATATTATATATACTGCCAGGGAAAGAGGCCACGCCATGTGGGTAGGATACAAGTGGCTGTCAGGAACTGCCTCCTAGCCCGGTGCAGAGGGGCTGAGTGAGTCTTGACCTTGACTGAGCACTTCTTTCCATCCCCTTGAGCAGACACAGAGTGGGTAGACTCCTCAGCGTTGAAGTGGGGGAAAGAACTCATTTCCTATTGAGAGGTTATGTGGTGTGTGTGTGTGTGTGTGTGTGTGTGTGTGTGTAGCTTAGTGCAGGGCCTAGAACACAGTGAAACCCAGGCTTGTACAGCTTCACACAATAGATTGAAGGGCAGTGTCCCTTGGGCCTGGTCATGGCTAGTTACAATTGATGAAGACATTTTTTTTTCTCCTTTGTTTTCTCTGTTTTGTTTTCTCCTTTGTTAAGGTGAAAAGGTATTTTCTTGATCCTGCTTCTTCCAAAGACATTTTTCTTTCATTTCACTTACCGGTTATTGAGTACTGGGGCCAGAGCGACGGTTCAGTGGTTCAGAGCACTCCCTGCTCTTTCGAGGCCTCCATTCCCGACACAAATGTAGAGTGACTCACAACTGTAACCCCAGTTCCAAAGGATCCAGTACCCTCTTCTGATGGCAGATCTGTGTGTGTCTGTGCATGGTGTACATATATACACTATATGAAGCACTCATACATACTCGTAATTTTATTAATGATTTGTTCATTTTATTTTATATGTGAATGTTTTGTCTGCATGTATTTCTGTGCACCACATGTGTGCATGGTGTCTACAGAGGTCAGAAGAGGGCATTGGATCCCCTGGACCTAGCTATGGATAGTTAGGAACTGTCATGTGAGTGCTGATCATTGAACCAGGTCCTCTGTAAGAGCAAAAAGTGCTCTTAGCCTTTGAATATTAACAGAATTTATTAGAAGTATTGTATTCTTTGAGCAGGCCTTTGACTTGCGCCTCTTCATTGCTACAAAACAGCATTGTCTGCCCCAATTTCAGTGAGCTTTGGGAAAGCAATCCATGTCTCATGTGACAAGTATCTCTCTTCAGCTTGTTACAGTGGCTGTCAAGATAGAAAATACTAGGCTTTATTAGTCTCTAATGCCTCTGGATGAGGACTTCCGAGAATGAGACACAGAAAAGTCAATAAACAAAATGGCTTGGTTTAGTGAGGAACAGAGCCACAGAGTCTGTCCTGGACACTGGTGTATCTGTGACTCTAAAGGAAAGGTGCAGACTGATTCACAGAAGTCTCCTGAGAAGCCCTCCCACATGCCAAAGAACCCAAGAAGGAGTGCTGAGTGCCTAGTGGGGTTGCTGGAGCAAAAGCTTAGCATTTGGGTGCTGCACACGACCCTCCACAGAGCCCCATCACCTGCAAGGTGATTGTGCCAAGGCAGGCCCTGGATGCAGGCACTGTGGGCACCCGCACCAAGGGTAAAAGCACATTGTTCTACAGCCTGGGAGACCTACTGCCTGCCAAGCCACTGCTGGCTGGAGTCCAGGCCTGCAGTCCAATTGTTCAGGGAGGGTTGTCATGCTTATCCACCCCTCACCCTGGAGTCCTGCACCTCAGCTGCACTTTGGGCCTTACTTGGTGTAAATAGAATCATTGTGAGCAGAAATGCCAGGCAGTGTTTTGTGTTGATAGACATTTATTCAGAGGCCCATGCCCATTGTTCCTTCTGGCTGAAGGCTAATTCCTGCATTCGGGTAGTTTGCTGATTAATCAGACAGGTGTATCTTGTTCTACCAAGATGAACAAAAGCTGTCAGCAAAGATGATTAGGGATGGAAGATATATTTCAAAATGATTAAAATAGCATTTTCACAAGCATGGTTCTTTAACAGCTGCCTGCTGCTGGCAGCCCTGAGAAGCCACGAAGCCCATCCAAGCATGCCGTCCTGCTAATATGCGGCACACATGACATGTTTCCAAAGGTGCATCTCAGGAGCTCCCCCTAAGAAGGAGGAATTTATACAAGAGAATAAAAACTTAGGCCAACAACCTTGGAGTTGGGAAACACAGCAGAGATTATATTCCAGCTAAAAATAGAATGGCCTACTCTATCATGAGGAGAAAGTGAAATTTGTTTAGTCAAGGACACAGAGGCCACTGGGCTGAGATGATTTCACTTTTAAAAGAGCCATTTGAGTTGTGGACCCTGTATGTGGTGAGAGAATGAAGAAAGCTTCTTCCTGACCCTCTGTAGATGCTCAGCTACCAGAGTAAGCCCCATGTCATGTGTGACTTAGGGCCCTGCCATGCCGAGGGAAGAATGTAGCAGCTGTCTTTGTTCGGATGACAGGACTAGGCGGGGGCTCCAGGCTCTCCCACTGCCGTCTGACTGGCACTGGAGCAAGGCCTGACAGACACTCTCCTCCTTCTGCACCTGTGCAAGCTTCTCAAGCCCGGGGCCAAGTGTTTTGTTGATAAGAACTAAGCCTAGTGCTCTTATGAGAGCACAGACTGTGGGGTCGGGTCCCACGCGGCCTTCCCCCTCAGTACCTGGTGCAGTGCCCATCGGGTTCCTCTAGGGTGGAGGAGTGGCATGGGAGTCAGGCCTCTGGGTCTAGGGGTACTGACGTGAAAGCGCTCGGCCTTGGCAAACCAGCACCTGTCCTGTCTTTTCAGAGTCAGAGCTGACCAATCTGGCGGGGCTGTATCGAGATGAGCGGCTGCGGCAGAAGGCAGAGTCACTGAAACTTGAAAACTGTGAAAAACTTTCCAAGCTAATCGGCCTCCGGAGGGGCGGCTGAGACGAAGATGGCCCGGCTCAGGATGGGGGTTTCTTACTTGTTACTATTTACATTGCAAATCCATTTTATAATACAAGTTAGGAGATGATGAACACTTACTATCTGCTAACTTTGTTGGGCAGAGCTGCAGGACATGGAGCCACGCTTGTCACCATCTGTTTCTTCCAGGCCGGCTCCCAGGGCAGGGACAGTTCATCTAAGTTACGTGAATGGTAACGTTTGGACTCAGCTCCACTGTGAACGTAGATCAGGGCATCCCAGAGAAGACCCACATTTCTGCCTTCACCCTCCTTGCAGCAAAAGCCCACTCCCTAGGCATTTCTAGGCTCAGCCAATCACTTCAAAGTACTGATGTGTCTGCCGAGAATTACACCTCTCTTTGCCATACACCATCCCCCAGTGTTCGGTTTTCCACTTCCTAAGGAGAGTAGAGAGAAACTGAACTCTTTGGCCAATAGTTCAGTGTTATCCAAGTCTCTCTTGAGGCAGGAGCGTTAGCAAACTGCCTGATTTGTGGTTTCTTTTCTTTCTTTTTTGAGAGAAGGGCTCACTCTGTAGCCCAGACTAGCCTGGGACTCACTATACACTCCAAGATGGCCTTGAATTTGCAGCTTGGGTTACAGGCGTCAGCTACCATACCCAGTAAGGTTCCTTTTATCTCCTTATTCAGCTCTCTCAGAGGGTCTAGAAAGTCAAAGCTGTGAACAGTCTGGGTGTGGTAGCGCACACCTTTAATCCTAGCACTCACACAGGCAGAGACAGGCCAATCTTTATGAGCTCAATGCCAGCCTGGGATGTATAGCAAGCTCCACACCAGCCAAAGATGTCAGGAGATCTTGTCTCAAAAAAAATAACACAAACAAAAAACCTGTTGAGCCATTCAGCAGACAGCTCAGCAGCAGGAAGTAGGGCTAAGGAAGAAGGTAAAATACAAGACTGTGAGCTCCTCAGTGTAGATTCCTGGTCCATTTTGGAACTAGAGAGCACTGTGTCCCTTCCCCTTTAAATCATCATTTAGTATATGGTAGGTTGTACGCTGAGCACAAGTATGCGCAGAAGTGCACTGGTCAAACCCAAGAGGAGGCTCAGGCCTAGAGACCCAAAGGCAGGAGCCTGTCTCTGTGGCACGGAGGGCTAATATTAGCCTTAACAATCACTTTGTTTGACTCAGAGTCCTGCACATTTTAGTACGAGGTGGTCTTCCATGCATTCAGTATTTATGGAGTGTCTACTACAAAGCAATGGCTTTCACATGTGTCTCTCTCTCTCTCTCTTTCTCTTTTTTTTTTTAATTTATGCCTCCTCAAAATTTGTGAAACTGACGCGTTACCTCTTTTATGAATCAGAACAGGATAAATGGTTGGCCTGGGTCATGTAACTAGGTGAGGAAGTACAGAACGTGAAAGATCATCCTGTTTCTCAGATGACTCTAGCCAGGTTGGCAAAGCGGAGACTTTCCCTAGAATGCTTCTGCAGTCCGGGACGCCTCTGCCGCCGGTTTGCATCCTTTCCGTCACAGTTCTGCGTCCTTCAGGACTGCTACCCTGCTCATCTTTCAGAAGCAGGACCAGGGATGGAGAGATGGCTCAGTGGTTAAGAAGAGTCTAGCTGCTCTCCCAGAGGACTCAGGTTTAGTTCCAAACACCCACGTGGCAGCTCACAGCTGTCTGTAACTCCAGTTCCAGAGGACCCAGCTCCCTCTTCTGGCCTTCACAGTCACTGCATGCACCTGGTGCACAGACATACTTGCAGGCAAAACACCCATACACGTTTTTTAAAAAGTAGGACCCTTTCATACAAATCCTTCATAGGAAGAAAAAACAGTTTTTTTCTAGAACTAAGTCACTGATTTCCCAGACTTGGTGGTTGTGCCTTCCTGTGGAGGGCAATGCCAGAGCTGAGTTTCTGAGCTGCCCAGATTATCATGAAACTGAATTTGAAAGGTAACTGGTTCATATTTCATTTCTTTTTTTCTTTTAGATAGGGCCCCATGTATCCCAGGCTGGCCTCAAAGTTGAAATATAGCCAAAAACTTTGAACTTTTTTTTTTTTCTAGACAGGGTTTCTCTGTGTAGCTCTGGCTGTTCTGGAACTTACTCTGTAGACCAGGCTGGCCTCTAACTCAGAGATCCGCCTGCCTCTGCCTCCCGAATGCTGGGATTAAAGGCGTACGCCACCACACCAAGCCCCTTTTTATTATTAATAATTATCATTATTATTTATTATTATTATGTTTTGTTTGTTTCAAGGCAGGGTTTCTCTGTGTACCCTTGGCTGTCCCAGATTTCACTCTCTAGACGAGGCTGGCCTTGAACTCAGAGATCTGCCTCTGGAGTACTGAGATTGAAGGTGTGAGCCACCACCGCCTGAAATCCTCCTGCCTCTACCTCCTGAATGCTAGAGTCACTCCTGGCTGTTGTGGTGCTGGGGAAAGAACCCAAGGCTTTGTGCATGCTAGCCTACTAAGCTACATCCCCAGACTTATCTTCTGAATTTTTTTAAAACCTCTTTAACCTATGAGCAGCAGGGAATTTACTTTGTAAAATATGCCAGGCATGGTGAAACACACTTTTAAACCCAGCACTCAGGAAGCAGAGGCAGATAGATTACTATGAGTTCAAGGCCAGCCTGCTCTACATAGCAAATTCATAGTGAAACCCTGTCCCAAAACAAACAACAAAAACCGTGCGTTGTAAAATGTACTCACGAACCAAACAAGCTTGTGGAGGGCTCCTAGTCATGAAAAATGCAAAGCTCTTCCCTTCCAGCCTCATCCTGGGCTAGAAAGTGGACCAATGGGGTAAACCCTCCCCTGGATGCCCTTGAGTAGTTTGTGGATTTCATGGCAGTGATGACCCCAGAGTCTAGCCCAGCTCCATTAAATGTCACACCGACTGTCTGTTCTCATAGCCTGGTGTACTGCTTTATTTATTACTGATAGACTACAGTACTCACATCTGGTCTCCTCAAGAGAGCCAGATTTGCTCTGGTTGAAGGGTAGTTTAATCTATTTGGCACTATGTAGAATCGTGTTAAACTCTTAATTCCTTGCTTATAATTTAGATACCTTTCTTTGTACTGGTAAAATAAGCTTTGTACTCTTGCCTATGTCTTTGACGAGGTTTCCTGGCAGTGTAAACTCTTTAGATACGGCTTTTCTAGCTGCCAGTGTGGCTCACAGTTTGAGACACAGGATGGAGACTGTGATGGGAGTGAGGTGAAGCACAGGGCTCACCCGGGACCAGGAAGTGACCTTCAAATGAAGTGCTCTCTTTAGTCAGAGGGAGATGGAAGCTCCTCCCAGTGAGGAGCAGGGGAGCTGGAAGGAGCCCATGTCCGTGTTCATCTGCTCAAGCAGGAGACATCTCAACCTCACTGGTCAGCTCCAAGCCGCACAGCTTGAGAGAAGCAACCGGTAAGAAAATAGTATCACTGTGCATGCTTACAGGACCTGTTAGGCATGACAGGAAATGCCACACCCTGCTGGCATCAGGGCCCAGCAGGCTGGCTGAGCTGCGGCTACTTTCATTCTCCTCTTCACTCTCCTCAGAGCTAGTGCTGCCAGGGGCACCATGGGATCCCAGCAACTGGCCACACAACCAACCCATTGTCTGCATGCACTGCCCTCACAGGAGCTGGCACTTAGTTTGTATCACTTCAAGTATTAGATTGGTGTCCTAATTATTTATTTTGGGAAAGGACTAAGTTCCTATACATCTTAATGTTTGGGCCTGCGCTGTTGGTACCTCATGCAGTGGTCACCAAGTTACTGAGTCTACATTTGCATCACACTCAGTGTTTGGAGGTGGAGTGTTCTATGACCAGAGTCAGGAATGACACATGGGAAAATGCTGAAAAATCTGGTCATCTGATCATTGCATCTAGAATGGGTGTATTTTAACAAAGTAAACATTAAACAATTTTATATACAAAATGCGACTTTACGGCTTTTCTTTGTTGCCTTTGTCCGCAACCCTCATGCATGGAGTCACTTTGGACTAAAGATGCTCCTGTGGAATAGTTTGTGTTTAGAATAGTACATAATGCTAATGGGATGAATTCCAGACGGGAGGCGGGGTTTCAAGACAGGGTTTCTCTGTGTAGCCCTGACTGTCCTAGAACTTGATCTGTAGACCAGGCTGGCCTCAAACTCACAGAGATCCACCTGCCTCTGCCTCCCAATTACTGGAATTAAAGGCTTGTGCTGCCACCTCCTGACTAAGGATTTTTTAATAAATAAATATTTTCTGTGTATAGGTGTTTTGCCTGTGTGTGTGTATGTGTGCCATGTGTGAGCGGCACCCTTGCAGGCCAGAAAGGGCATCAGTTGTTTGCTATGATGTGGGTGATGGACAGAACCTAACATGGGTCCTCTGCAGGAGCAGCAAGTGGGGTTTTGGCTTTTGAGGGGGAGTTTGGAAACATAATTTATATATAAAATTTTAGCAAGAAACAATGTAAAATGACAACACACATTAAAAGTGAAAATAAGCCTGGTGTTGGTGGCGCACACCTTTAATCCCAGCACTCAAGAGGCAGAGGCATGCGATTTCTGTGAGTTCAGAGTCTGTAGAGTTCCAAGATAGCCAGAGCTATGCAGAGAAATCCTGTCTTGAGAGAGAGAACCTGTTGATAAACACCAGTTCCTATCCTGAAATAACTGTATAAAACATGATATCCTAGGAGTGACCTAATCTTTATTTCTTGTCACTGAAGACAGTGGCAGAGGCTTAGAAACAGCACAGAGAGGACGAACCTACAGAGAGCGCCTATAGGTGAAGGATGCATCTTTACCAGAACCGGAGTCACTTCTGCTAAGAATTCTTTCTGTACTCAGATAGCAATCCAGCGTACCACAGCCAACCTAGATCAAGACTAGATTTAGCATCAGAAACATCGGTGTTACCTAGCTCTTTCCTCGCTATATTCCTAGTGGACCATACTTAGCAAAGTCTTGGTTTAAAGATACCATTCATGGTGTTTAATATTTACATGGTCCAACTGGTTACATGTCCTACTTGGTCCAACATACACGTGAGACTCAGTTCAGGAGAGTTTGAGAACTTGCCTCTATTCTAGGGGGGCTGAAACCTAGGACTCCTAGATCAAATGTCTAGTGCAGTGGTCAAAACCCCTTTGGGGGATCACATGGGGGATGTTTACATACGATTAATAACAGAAGCAAAATTACAGTCATGAATTAGTACGAAACAATGTTATGGTTGGAGTCACCACAACATGGGGAATGGATTAAAGGGTGACAACATAGGAACCACTCTCTTATGGTTTTCATTTTGGGGTTATTTTTAGAAGAGGGGGTCTCAGGAAGTCCAGACTGGCCTTGAACTCCATATCTTCTTGCCTTGACATTCTTAGTGCCAGGATTACAGGTGTGTACTACTCCGCCATGGAAGTCTGATTTGTTCCCTCCAAAACAACTGGAACTTCTGATTCCATTAGACTCCACTCCAAAACCACCATCCACTTACACCACAGCAGCTTTACCCTCTTACCTAGAATATTTCAGTAGCTTATTTCATCCCCAGCATTAACATCATCCAAGTTCTAATCATAGCTAGCATTTTGTTTTGAAGATTTTGCTTTGTTTTTTTGAAAAAGGGTTTCTCTGTGTAGTCCTAGCTGTCTTGGAACTCATTCTGTAGACCGGGCTTGCCTCGAACTCACAGAGATCCACCTGCCTCTGCCTCCTAAATGCTGGGATTAAAGGCGTGCATCACCATTGCCTTTAAAAAATTATTTTTTAACATTTGAGATAGTCTTGCTAAGTTCCCTAACTTGACCTTTGATGGTCTTCCAGCCTCAGCCTCCAGCAGCCCC